CAGGATAAGAGGGTCTTGGAGCTTACACTTAGGTGTCCAAAAGGCAGAGCTGCCCTCTTCCATACCAAGCTGCTGTCCCCAGCCCCTGAAATGGCAGTCATGAGCCGCCCGTCCAACACCTGGACCGCGGCAGGCTTTTATTCCAGCCGTTCCCACCGACAGAACCGGCCCACCAGCAGCTACGAGACCAGAACAGTCGTGTCGGCAGCTGCATGTGGTGCCTATTCGAGGCACACACGGAGGCCAATGTCGGGCGCGGGGCCACCGTGCGCTTCCGTGGCTACACCCAAGCAGTCAGCCAGCACTTCGTAAAGCGGAATGCAGGCAAGAGCCTGAAGGTCGGCGCCCGGGCTCTCAAGAAGACCCATCGGCATTTCGTCAGCGCGGGCAGTGTCATGCAGGCGATGTACAGGATGCTCCACCTTGGGACTCCACACAAGATCACGCAGAAGCAGTTCGATGAGGCGGCGCTCCAGACTGGGTGCAAGGGCCTGACTGCCTTTGCGGCCCTGCCGTACGTCAACCTGTCGTGCCTCTTCACCGTCTCCACCGGCCATGCCCTGCTGTTCGGAGTGGTCAGCGACTTTGTGGACTACACGCTGAGGTCGCTCAAAGACATCAAGCCAGCAGACCCAGATGCCAAGCTGGTCATGTCTCGTGAAGCACGCCAGCGGGTCGTGGCCTGCGGCCAGTTCCTGGTCGTGACTTCAGACTTCGGGCGGCGGTACAAATGCATCATGCAGTACTGGTGAGCACGGCCAGCACTGGGCAGCCGGCCACACACGGGGTTCGCTAATAGCCGAGAAAGCAAATATGACCAGGGGCTTGCCTGGAAAAAACACCTTCGTCTGTCAGAGAGTTTGCTACTCTACCTATGTAATGTACTTCTTCTAGTGACACGGTTGCTCACCACACTGCCCCCCTCCACCCATGCAGCAAGAGCTACCGCATGGAGGACTGGCTGCACTTCGTTGAGACGTTCTCCAGCTACATCTTCAAGGGGGACGTGCTGCCCAAGGCCTTGCGGGCCCTGTGTTGGAGCCTGTGCAGCACGGTCACGCACTACTTCTGGCCGCGGCCCCCCGATGAGACCCGTGAGCAGTTCCTGGTGGCAGCCAAGGCGGCTGCATGCAAGCTCAGAGCTTACACGACCAGGCTGGAGGAGTTGGAGGTGCCGGGCTACATGTTCATGGTCAACCTGCATATCTGCGTATGCTGGCTGTACTCTGACCTGCCGGTGGAACGCATGATGCAGCAAATGAAGACGCAAGGCGGAAGGATGGTGTCACAGGCACCCGAGAAGCACTACACGCAGTGGCTGTGCCTGATGCGGGCCTCCGAGTCGCTCACCGAGGCAGACCCCGGGACCGGGGCCAAACACACGACCAACCAGCAGCTTGAGAGGATGTTGGCACGGCGCGCAGTGAACACCGAGGCTGCCTGGTTTGATAAACCAGGAGCCAACGGTTACCTGCTTGGACGAGGCCACATGGTCTACCCGAGTCCAGAACGAGTGGCACAAGTCCGGGCAGCCATGGCGAGCCTAGTGCACTGGTATGCCCTGGCATTCGAGGATGTGGCTTCCTGGACATTGGGTCCCAGTGCGAGCTACGAACTGGACACGGACCGCCTGGATAGGGTTCTCATGTCTACACCACCTGACTGTCCCAAGGCCCGCTCCTTATTGCGTGCCGAGGCACTCGACGAGGAGCAGTACTTCGGGGCTGAGTATGGGCGCCAGCAGCAGCGGATCTCCTGCTGGGCATGCTACCAGGCAGAAGTCGGCAACGAGACTCGGACGTATGCGGCCTACCTCAAGCACTTCGTCCACCTGCCCGCAGAAGATGGCGCTCAGGATGTCCGATTCACTGTCGCAGATGTGTACTCGGGACAGGTGTTCAGCGAGGGGCTGGTGGTGGTCAACATGGCGGCCGCCCAGACAGCGAGGGCAGGCAGCCAGTGGGAGATG